TCCCTCGGTGCCCTTGGACTGAAGTTTCTCACCACCACTCGGGACTTTGAGGCCTCACAAGACTGATCTCTTCTCTTGCAAGAAATCATCTTCCTCTTTGGCAAGCACCACTATTTTGACTCACACGGGCAAATAGTTGAGAACATACACAGTTTCACCTGGCAGGGACTTTGCCGATGCTTAGGCAAACCTTGGTTTGGTCTAACTCAGAGGATTTGGGATGTGTTCACCCTCGTGGTCACCAGTAGAAGACATGACATCCAGAAGACAGCTCTTATGAAGCACCCTGAGGAGGAATAGCACACTCCCTCATGGCCATTTTCTCTTAGCTGCTGTTGAGCAGTGGGAGCGTGGCCCCACAGGATGGAGACTTGGGTCAGGTAACAATGATCAGGGAGAGGACAGTGGAGTCTGAGCCTGAGCCTCTCCAAGGAAGAGTCAGACACAGTCAGTAGAAAGAGTCAGTCAGCCATTGAGGAGCTCAGAGCTACAGAGGATAAGCTGACTGCAGAGAGCTGGGTGACATGCCTTAGTCTGGATGGCAGGGCCACCCAAAGCGGTCGCCGTGATGGAGTTCCAAAGCTCAGGGGAGATCTTCACCTCTGAGGAGACGTCCCCTCCCCATTACTCTCCTCTGCAGTTGGAGCTACCTTGGCATCCCCCAATTCCCAACCGGGCCTGCTTCACTTAGGGAGACGGCAGGCTTTAAATTCACCCTTCTCGCATCATCATTTAATCGCAAACGCTCTCCGCCCAGGCAGCTAGACCACCCTAGGGCTCACTTTGTTTCCCTTCTCTCAGCAACCCCTGCCAGTGTGCTCGGGGCCCCATATTTGGAAGTCGTCATTGTCCCATCATTACTGGTGTTGGTTAAGTCAGGAGAGTGAACCGCTCCCGGCTTCTTCGTCCTGACCCGAAGCGCCAGGTCTGCTTAGGGCAATGTGCACCCCCGTATTATGAGCACTGATGAGCCCTTGCCTCCGATTTCATCTTTCTCTCCACTCTGCCGGTGTGAACGATCAGCGCCCTGCTGTTGTCCTGAATCCTCATTTTTGCCACCTTCTGTTCTTCTTCTCACTCGTTCAGTTCTTGTCCAGTTTTTACCTCGCTCTTCTCAGCTTTTGCACTAGCTGCTGGCCTTCCATAGGTGTCATCATTCCTGGGATCAGACTGTAACCTTCTTTTAAGGATGAATGTGCTGTTCTGGCAGTCTGTACACTGCCACCTTCTAAATGTCCAAATCTTTTGCCTGCATTTGTTGGTGCACCGTGCTACACAGCAGTATCTTTATTTAATCAGAGGAATGGTCAGTCTATCTGTGGGTAATTCTGCCCATCCATCCATCTGTCCATCCATTCATCCGTCCATCTCTGCATTATCTATCTTTCATGATTATTATTTTTATTACTATTTCTTCCATGACCAGATAACATTTCATAAAGTTTGTCCTGCATACCATGTAGATAGTGGATTATGTCAAAATAAGACGAGGTGAATTGGCTGGGAGACATAGTTTAATTCATATAAAAAATAATGATGAACTTAGTCACAGATCCTGGACATGGGCAGAGAGGGGGAGAGAGAGAGAGAGAGAGAGAGAGAGAGAGAGAGGTCAAACAGCATACAAAGGTGGAGCTGACAGGACTTGGAGGAAGAGGGAGAGGTTGGAGTCTGCGCTGACCTTGGGGTTTAGCACTGGTGGCTGCTGAGAATGAATGCCTGGGCTTTCACTGCAGTAGGAGAAAGTGAGGAAAGGACATGTGTGCTGCAAGGTGATGAGCTCAATTTGGGTTTACTGAGTTTGAACGGTTTGCTGACTTCTTGGAATGTTTTCATTTTTGACCTCTTAATGTGGACCTTTGTTACACAGAATGCTCTGTGGTTTCCCAACACGGTAAGTATCTTCCCAAGTCTCTTGACCTATTGGCCCTGGCTAATCCTAGACATGGATTCCTTTCAGTAACCTGTCCATGTGAAAGAAGAATTTTTGAAACTCGGCTCCAATTCCCAGGCACAGTGGTAGGATGTGACCTTTGAAGTCCACCAGACCTGGTGTGGAGCCCAGCTGTGTGGCCAATTCTGTGATAGCAGATGAACTCAACCACATTGGGGCCGGATTTCTGGGTCTAAAATCCAAGCATGAAGTAAGGTTGCTGCAGGATTAAATTTGATCGTCAGCTGAAACATGCAAAGGCACTCCAGCTGGTAGGTTTACGTCGTTCCTGTGGACTCGTGATCTTCTCTGGAGATAGGTCCAGATCACGCAGCGGTGCTTGGCCAGAGCTCTGTACTTTCATGGCCTTTGCATTGCACCCCCCGAGGTGGGCACAGTCCAAGGAGAACAAACCCTGAACACATTCCCCCCAGGTTTCGCCACAAAGCTTAATCAGTGCTGTTTCTGACTTACACCGGCCTGGGCTGCCCACCTTTCTCTGCCCAGGGGAGCTGCTTTGAAAGACTTTCCCAATCTTTGCACTTTGGAGACTCTTGGTCTGGGGCGAGGGTGCTTCTCACTCCATGCTGCCATCTGGAACTCTTTGTTCAGGTCTTGCCAGAAAAAAACAAAAAACAACACACTAACTTAGGAAAATAACATTTGGCAGGAACTTGGCAGCAATAATGCTCTTACTGCCAGAATCCTCATCCACAGCGTGGGTGGCTCAGATGGCACTTAATTAAATGCATTTCCTATAAATCCGTAGCAGGGTGCTTACTTCTACTGATGGCTAATGACTCCCCCATCTCTAAGGCAACCGGTCTTCCAGCCCAGAACTGGAAACAAGCACGTATAGAAGGTGCTGCCATTGTTGGTGCCGGTCCACACTCCCACTGCCTCGGTACTCAGTACTCAGTGTGGGTCCCGCTGGCTGCTGTGGCTCAGCACTCCCCTCCTGCCTGCTCTGCCTACGGAAGGAAAACAGTACCCACTGCTCTCAGCGCCAACCATGAGTCTCGAACAGTGCTGGGCACCTCACAGTCAGCGGCCCCTTCATCACCACAGCTCTCTGAGCAGGGACCAGGAGTCTCGTTTAAAATATAGAGAAAAGAAGGCTCCCAGAGGTTCAGTACCTTGCTGGGCCTGGACACCTGGAAAGTACAGATTTGAAGAGTGCTCAGGAAGTTCTGATGCCAAAGCCCCAGGCTCTCCCCTAGGATACAGACTTCACTAAGGCAAGGCGCTGACCATGTTTTCAGACAGAGCTATAACATCCTTATCTCCTTCTGGTTAGAACAAACCTGAAAAGTTATTCATGCTTCTCTCAAGCTCCACACCTCTCCTGGAGCACTGGGAATACAAAGCCAGGTAAAATCTGGTCAAACTTGGAAACTGGAATAAGGGAAAACTTGCAATGCGTTAGTTGGTTTCTCTTCAAAATAATCTTTTCTTTCTTACCTTGTCTGTTTCTTTGCTGGTCTATAGCTTTGTGGGAGGGATATACGCAGAGTAGAAATATGTATTGCACAAATATTATCTTTACAAATATTTCCACCTTTATCTGTTATACTATTATCAATAGCTTTGATTAATATGCCTTATTTAACCTTCATTTTCCAAGATATTTTTCTAGGTCTAGAATATGGTGATTGTTCTCTTTCATTTACTTTTTGTGGTGCTAAAGATGGAACCTAGGGCCTTCACACTGAGCTGTATTCCTAACTTTTTATGTGTGCATGTTCTTTTTTTCATTTTGAGACAGGGTCTTCCTAAGTCTCTACATCACCCAGGTTGGGTTCAAATTTGTGACCCTCCTGCCTCAGCCTCTCAGAATTCTAGGATTACAGGCACGCACCATCAGGTCTGGCTCTTGCAGCCTTTTAAAGATGTCATTCTATAGTCTTCTTGGTCCCCTTATTTTGAAAAGTCAGCATGCAGTATAGTTCAGACTCCTTTGAATATGTGGTATCCTTCTCCTCACTAACTCCATTCCTGAGTCTTGGCTGTTCGTAAGACTTCTCTCCAGCAGGCTGATCCTATGATATTTTTGGCATGGTGTAATTATATTGTATCTAGTGGATTTTCTTCTCTTTTATTTTTTAAGCTGTTTCAATTTTGTGGATGGATGTTTCTAGTATTTTGGGAAAATTCTTAGCCGATGCCCCTTCAAATATTTCATCTTTCTTTCTGTCTCTGTATTAACATCCCAGCCCCAGCCCCAGCCCCAAATTCATGGCCATTTCCTCTTCTCTGAATTCTCAACCTTTCCAGCTGGGGTACCTTGGCGGTCTGGGACTGCACTTTTTGTCTCAGAGACTGGGCTGGGCACCCGCTGAGGCACCCCGCTTCTGCCTGTGCTTGCGATTTGCGCTGGCTTGGGAGATGTGAGCACTCCCAGGGGAGATGCAGGCACGGTGCCCACCTCTGCTGTTTCCTCTTGGCTTTTGTGTTTCACTCTGGGATCTTTGACCCGGCACACTCACCGACTTCGAGGTTGTGTGCTGCGTTTCACTCCTCGCCTGTGTCTCCTCTGCTCCGCATCAGTTCTCAGCAGGGCGGTTGCACTGATAAAGCTCATCCACCTAAGCCAGCAGTGGGAGTTGCACATGCACGAGTCTGAGTTGGAATTTCCATTTGTTTTCTGTTTGTTTCATTTTACTTGCTCAGTGTTTCAATGCCAAGGTCATGGAACTGAAACTTAGAAAAATTGGGTTTTCATTCCAGAGTCACTAGGAAATTGCTTGGTGATGATGGGTCTTCTGGTTTCAATTTCCCATCTGTAAAATAGACATACTGTCTCTTTGTTTAATTTTAAGAGCTATCGAGAGTATTTAAAGAAAAGTAAAAGGTTTTTCTGATAAAGTGCTCTCTTGTGAGTCTTCCTCATTCTTTCATGAATTAGCTCCCTGTGGGAACTAAGCAGTGAATTCTTAATTAACATCTCCAGAATGGCCAGCAGCGCATTGCTCTACACCATGTCACAGTGCCCGTGTTTGCTGCCTTCTCACCTCACAAGGAAATCTGGAAGGAGGAGCGAGCAGATGCTCACTCAGCGTGAGCTAGAGCCAGAGTGCAGCCTGGGTGTGCGCAGCACTCAGAAGCGATTTCAGGATGTTTTCTGAGAGAGAGAAAGGTGTTTGTTCACTGAGGTGACTCTCACCCGCCTGGATCACTTGTGTCCATTCTGAAATGCCGGAAAAGACTCGGGCCTGTTGATGTCAGCCCTGCTGAGCACATTGCCAGGTGAGCTGTTAACACGCATACCCGGCTCGCCTCAGTTAGCCCAGATTGAGTCAACTTCTTTTTCTAGTTTAGTCTAAATTTAAAATAATGCTTTCATCTCTTATTAATAGGCTAATTGTTACCCACTGTTTTGCTGTGGGCTCAGAGCTCCAGAATAAATCGTGTTTTGATTGCAGGGTGGATCAGGTTGTGCTTGATCATTCGAGGTGGGGCTGGGCAGAGAATCCTGATTTGTCTCGAACCTCAGAGGAAAAAGAGTGCTTCAAACCCCAGACCCCCTGTCTAGCTGCAGGAGAGACAAGCATGCCTGAGTTTGGCCTGGTAAGAGGTACAGTGTGGCCAGAGCCCAGAAGGTGAGAAACCATCTGAAACTTATTCTTTTATTCTTCTAATCCCATGGAGAGATTTTCGTCCCACTGTTAATTCAAGTCGTGAACTAGAAAGTCAAGAAGCCCTGGGCTTGCGTTGGTCCTCCAAATTCATTGGTCTTCCATTCATTTTACAATATCTCCAATTGTAGGGTTTCTACTTCCTCCCTGCTTTGATGAGGTCCGATGGGGGATTTGAAGAGACACATCGGAGTGTCCGGGTGGCTGTCCTTTCATACTGAAGTTACACAGGTAAGAATGAGAGCACAGGAAGCAGCCTCCACAGTGGCAGGAAAGCAGCGATGCTGATCAGGCTGGAGGGGCTGATGCTGTCTTGTAGCTGGGGCAGGAGCATCCTGCGCTAGGGCTCAGACAGTGGGGTCCAGAGCTCCCCATGCTTCTCATTTTCAGTCTTCCCCCACGACAAAGCACATCTCCCTAGTCTTAAGTTATTCTTGAGACACACACAGTAGCTGCAGTGCATCTGTGAACCAGTGCTTGCTCCAGGTACGAGGGCTTCCTTACCACATAGCATCTCCCTATGTGATGCTTCTGCTTACTGCTGCCTGATGTCACTCAGGGGTCCTGTCCATGACCTGCCCATCTTTTTCACCTACTCACACCCTTCTCTATGTGCAGCAGGAAAGATGTGAGAGTTCCAGTCAGTCTGTCGTCTGTTAAGCACTCGTATTGAACAGAGCTCTCTTTCCAGGCCCCCTTCTGGACCAATCTTTAGCCCAGTCTACTGCGGATTCTCACCAGGAGTATCTGGGGATGGATGTCACCAGAGCTCTTTCAAATGTCTCAGTTTACACCACCCTCAGCTTGTCCCATGGGGCTAGTGCTGCCGACCTGGGCAAAATGGAGCCCAGCATACACTGTGAGATGCAATTAGCCCACGTATGTATTTGACCTGAGCAAACCTATTTTTTAAAAAGTAGCTATCCAATGCTGACAGAGGTTTCCTTCTGATGGCTCTTCGGGCTTAGAATGCACTGGGCTCAGGGGACTCTCTCAGCCCATGCTGGCCTCACTGTCACTGTGCCCATAGGAGAGAACTCTGAAAGCCATCCAGCCTCCAGCTGTGGGGTAGGACCAGGACAGGAACTCATGGATAATTCCCTGGGAAACACTTACTGAGCTTGCTGGAGTGACCTGGGAGAGATGAGGATGTGGGACCACTGACACGAGCCGTGGGTGAAGGGGACCACACTATGCCTGTCCAGGGGACCCCTTCAGAGCAGTTTGTCACCATCACTGTCAGTGTTGGGCACTTGAGTCTTGGGTGAGTGTTGCCGTTTAGGGAGAATATGTTTCACCATGACTAAGGTGCTGCTCTCCTGGTTCCTGTTTTATTTTAATTTATTTGCTCTCATTCAGCTAAACCTTGTGTGTTTGCTGGTAACCTGGGTGTATCTGGTGAATTATTGGCAGCATCTTTTATTTGTATCATGCTTGGAAGCGGAGCAGCCCTTATATCTCTGGTTAACTGATCTCAGGAAAACATACATTCATATCGTTTTATTGACCAGAATTGGACAAAACTACACAAGAAAATCTGGTACCAGAAATCTGTCCCGCCTGTCTGGGGAAGCTGCCTGGGACCGAGGGTACAGAAATGTCCTCACTATGTGGGTCAAGGAAAGTTTGAGTTGGACACAAACCGAGGGAAAACAGATGCTGGCTTTCTGATGTCCAGGGCAGAGGTGGGGGCAGATTCAGTCTTGGCAGGGAGAGAAAAGGGAAGCAGTCAGGGCTGCCCAGAGCCGGGGACATCTGAAGCTGCGGCCAGGAGTGGGCAGATGATACCAGGAAGCAGGCTGTTCTCCCCGAGCCTGGTGGGGAGAGATACAGGGTCTCTTTTCCCTGGCCTGGGAAGGGAAATTTCCCTCTGAAGCTCAGCAAAATCATGCCTGTGATTGGTAGCAACTGGACCACCCACGACAGGGATGTGTCGCAGCCCCTTGTCATCCCAGGATCCAGGAGGTGCCCAGAAAGGACGAGGACTCAGCCTCCTGACTGACTAAGGGCTTAGAACAGGCCCAGTAGAAATCAGAGCAGCTCCACGCCCGGGGCTCCGGAGAGAGGCAGGGCCCTCTTCACCTTGGCCCCTTTCGCCTGAGCACGAAGCCTTCTCTGCAGTGCTCAGTGCTGACGACGAGGCCATACAGGAGCAGGACCGTTCCTTGTTGGAGTGTAACTCACCGACACCAGTGTTGCCCCTGACCTCACCAAAAGGCGAGCAGAGAGCGAAGCCTCAAGGCAACCAAGGTGGGCGTGAGGCTCAGCAGCAGGGAGAGTGAGCAGAAGGTGGGCCAGGAAGCACAGGGAGGCCGGGTGCGAGCTCCAACTTCCTGCAGTCTCAGTGTGCCTTCTGCAGCTGCTGGCCGGGCCACAACCAGAAGGAGACACCTGAGACGGGTGTTCCCACGGTGCCCGGCGCCAGGATCCTCGCTGGGCTGACAGACATGCGCACGAGCTTTTGGAGCGAGCAGCTCATGGGCGCCCTGCCCTTCAGGCTTTCATCCTGCCGCGTCCGAAGCCTGGACCCTTCTTCGAGGCTTTCAGGTCTCGCCAACGCTGCCTGTCTTGGAGGTCCATCTTCCATGACTGATCTACACTGTGTTTGTTTTGTTTGATGAAGGAAGCTTGGAGCCGTGTTGTTCTTTCATGTCGCTGCCTCAAAGACTTTAATCCAAAGGCTATTTGGAAATAGTGCCAGCTAATTAGGGTTGATGATGCAACAATGGTGACTCTCCCTCAGTGCCTTCAACCTTCTGCTTGAAACACAAACATGTCACACTGGAGCTCTAATTGTCCACGAAGATGAAAAGTCTCCCGAGCCATTGGCTGGGCGAAGGCCTCCTGTTGATGTAGGCGCGGGGACCACAGGCTTGTGCAAGCCAGGCTTGTAGCTGCAGATCCGCTGCTCCCCAGCATGCCTCGGCTTTGGGCACGCCGGGCACAAGTGTGCACCTGATCTCCAGCAGGCTAGCCAGCCTGCGTGCTCACCTTGGCTGAGCCACCGTCTCTGTGGATTTCATGGAAAGCACCTACCACCTACTGGTGCTGAACTCAGACTAGCCCACTCCTTTCTTGAACTGGAACTGCCAAGATGACACGTTCAGCAGGGCACACTCTGCGGTCTCCATCTGCGTATCTGTCCGTGGTTGCATAAATGGTCCTTCTTTCATTCAGACAATGATGTTTATCCCACTCTTGGCCTGCGCCAAAGATCACAGGTACAAAGAGCAGAGTCTTCCCAGCAGGGGGGCACAGTCCACGCTCGGAGACACGGAGAGATGATGATGCAACGGAATCAGGTGTCCCAACAGGTGACACTGAGAGGCGGGCTGAGGAGGAGGAAGCAAGGAAGACCGCACCAGGGACTCCACGCAGGGGATGAGTGACTGATAATTACATGCCAAGACAGCTGCAGTCTGCAGTACAGTTATTCAAAATGTATGAATTCCTTGTTTCTGGGATTGGGGCACAGTTGAAGGTACGGATAGGGAGGAGCTCCGTGGGGGTGCAGCCCCGCCGACCCGCAGGGTTCAGGTGGCAGTTGACCACTGCTAGCAACCCAGCACCTGTGCTTGGCTCACGACGCTACCTCCGTATCCCTTACAGCCCGTCCTTTCCCCTATCGATTTCCCTGGTGATGACGCTATCTATCTAGTGTTGACACAAACTCCTTTCAACATCCGCCATTATCTGGTTTAGTACATAAGTATCCTGCCATTTCTCTGCACTTGTGTAATAGGAATCAGTTGATGTGAAGGCTTGTCATTGGCATGTGTAGGAACTTAGAAGTCGAACTGTTTCATCTTAAAGTACAGTATCAGCAAAAGAAAGGACTTGGGAAGTAAATTTAATAGTGAAAGAGAATCACAGGGGTTTGTTTAAAACTTTTAGAGCTAGTTGTTTTAAAACCTCTTTAAGCTCAACAAGTATTCACTTAGTTTCTAAAGAAGAAGAATCTTATTCAATGTATTTCCCTCAAAAGATATCCATATTATGTGTAAATATCAAAGTCTAGTTCTATTATCTGAGTTTCTCAAGTATACAAGAATTCAATTTCTTAAAACAATTCTACAATTAAGATGATTTAGTAAATCATATCAGATAGTATAAGCTGGGCTCATTTTAACCTTTTTACTGAGATACTGTATTAAATAACCACAAAACGGTTGAAATGAAGTATTGGATTGGTTGATGTAATAGAATCATTCTTAAGCCTTCTAGGAACATGAGGTGCTTTGAGAATCTGGCGGGAGGTATGGGGATTCTCAGAAACCGTGGTACAAGGAGAGCCTAGCTCACTGCTGTGAAAGCCTCCTGACTCCCCCAGAGCCACACAAGGACTTGGAGCTGTGGGGAGGGGTGGATGTTCCCAATTCTTGCGCAGTGCAGGTGAGAAGCGGCTCATGAGAAATTCAACAAAGTCAGCTTGAAAATCAAAACATATGAAAATACATCCAATTGGTGATTTCAAGAAAAGTTTTGATATGTCAACTCTTTAGTCATATATATGTAAAACACATATATGGGATACATATATATAAGATATATTTAGGATATTATCTTTACGGGATCTCTATGGAATAGATGTGAAAATAGTATATAAAACTGTATGTATGTGATATATATAATTTATAATAACATAATCTTCAAAGTGTTTTTAGGCTTTCCTTACATGATCAGTATGGATTAAAAGTTATACACTTTATTAAACGTGCATGAAGCAGTTCTCTAGTCCCTCACTTTGTCATGTTATAAATCTTAACTTGGACAGGGATTGGTCAGGTGTGTGGGCACATTTCCCCTCATCTCTGAGTGGCTCTGCTCAGACCGAGAGCCTTCGTTTCCCCTTGGGGCCTTGACATGATATAGCCTCCCCCCACCTTCTAGTGAAATTCAAATACAGGTGGGTAGAAGCAGGAGGAAGTGCCAAAGTATGCCCCATCGCATGGCCGGCAGGAGCTCTCTCTCTGGGAGATTTCTGCTCTCTGGTTTCTGAGATCGGACTTCAACGGGGAACGTGTCTCCCGTGGGAAGCGGTAAGGCTTGGGCTGGCCTGGTGAGTGTGGAGTGCGTGCAGCGCATCTCCCATCTTTGCTCACATGGTGGATCACTGGGCAAAGGCAGAGGGCGCAGGGTTTCTGGAGCTGAGACTCTCAGGACGCAGGCCCCGGGCTAGAAGCCTTGGCGGCCTCCACCCCGGTCCCAGGGCACGCCGCTGTGCACCCGCCCGCTGGCGACGTGGAAGAGCCGGCGTGGGCCTCCTTCTCTCCTTCTCTC